CAGGGAGGATGAACAGAGGCTGCAGCAGCCACTACGAGTAGGAGATGGATTTGAACCACAGGACAGTGAAAGACAAGCAGAATGTACCTTCCTAAATCCTTCAAAAGCCTCAGCACAGCTGTTTCTCCTAGCACGGCACTGTGAGAGGGAGCTCTATCAGGGAAGCCCCACCAAAAGCCACCACGGAGGGCAGAGGAGGGTCCTCACCTGGCAAACGAGCTGTGCCTGATGCTAATGCTAATTAGCCCTTGCTAATGTGGAGTCAACAAGACCAGGGTGGGGAGGAGGGAGGCAGAAGTAGCTGTGTCCCAGGGAAGGCAGTCTGTTCTGGTTCATCAACCAGGCATCTCCTCCGAGGAGCTGATTGGATCCCTGTTTCCAGATCGTCTCCTCCTCCCTTGGTAAGCAGTAGGGCTTGGAGAGGAGCAAGGCGCTGGTCTCTGCCCAGGTTACCTTCTTCTCCCTCAAGCCAGTCCCTCAGCGTGCCCCATCTCCCCTCCCTCCCAGCTCTGCAGCTACACACAGGAGCCTTTAATCAGCCAAGCCGAGGACCGGACCCCCAGGCGAAGCCGGCCGAGGTGGAGGGTGCTGACAAGAGCCGCATTCATCAGGGCACTGGCTCAGGCTCAAACCAAACAGGACGTCGGCTCCAAAGCTGTGGGGAGGATGGGGCCCGTCTGGGCAGAGGCGACTGGGGTTAAATCTGTTTTCTCCAGCCTCAGCAGCACGGTGGCTGGTCCACACATGGCGAGTCCCAGCCCGAGGCTGCGCCAACCTTGTGTGAGAGGGAGAGTGAAAGGCACCTCTCTGCTGCCTTTAGCTCCTTACTGTGCAGTGCTGTTCACGAGGCGGGAAGCATCTGGAGCTGTCCCAAGGAAACCATGTGTGACAACCCTACAACCATCAGGCCAGTGCAAACACAACAGCACAGCTTGCTTGGGAGACAGAGCAACTGCAGCTCACTTGTAAAAACAAAAAAAGACAAAAAAACCCCCCCATACGCACAGCCGGGAGCACCATGCTGCTGCCTCTGGGATTGGGACTGGGACAGCCATAGCTCTTGGGAGGTCCCTGTGGCTGCTCACCACTGCTGGGACACATTGTCAGCCAGCAGCTTGCTTTGATGGCGAGACAGAGAACAGCACAGCAAACAGAGCAGGGAGCATGATCCGTGATCCATGCTGGCCTCAGCTTCCCCCCAGAGTGACTCTGACCGAGCCAGGAAGGAGTTTTGAAGTAGATCTTTAAAAATAGATCTAACAGCTAAATCACAATGGCCAATAACCTAGAGATGGAGCCCGAAACACTGCCTCCCACAGAGCAATTCTCATTACAGGGGAACAGCAGCGATGGTCCTGGCCCAGCCCAGCTGCCCCAGCAGCCCTCCAGTTCCAGTTACCCTCCGCATCTGTCTCGCTTGGTCTGTAGGTAAAAAACCACGCATTAGTGAGCTCTTAGCATCAGTCAAGTACTGCTTTTGGCAGGGCTTTTCTACGCCCTAGGCTCAAACAAGCGGTTGACTCCTCAGATGTCAGTGTCCCAGCCAGAGTTGCTGTTGTGGTTTTTTTTTCTGCCAGCTACTGAAAGATTAGGAACTCCACTCAGTCTGATGATTTCTCCAGAGACTCGTGACCAAAAGCTTTACCGCACGCTGCAGGAAAGCTGTTGTCCCAAAGGAGAGTCCTACCACACGCTGCAGGAAGGGCCAGAGCTAAGCCCTGTGCCCTGCTTCAGGTCTTAGTCCTGGCACAGCCATAGGTCTGGCTCTGGAGGAGCCCCCCAGCCAGCGACCTAGTGATCCTGGGAGAACCTGGGGGCTGACACAGGGCTGTCACAATCCACTCTTGTCCACCAGCAAAAATAGCCCTTCTTCAGCATTTTCAGGACAGGCATTTAGTTTTTTAAGCTGACGCCATCTCCATTCTCCACTACAGAGGCATCAAGGACCTCTCTTAGCCATAAGACAAAAAGCAACTAAGAAAGGCTTGAGCATCACTAGGGCTTGTGTCACATACTGCAAGGGAGAAAGGGGAGAAGAAGATCAAGTCCACACCCAGCTAGCTCCCCAAGCTGAGCCTTAGGGAAGGCTGAGCTGCCAGCCTCTGTCAACTGCCAAGCAAGCCACATGCTCCTTAGCTCAAGAGCCTGCTAGACCCCCCATGCTCAGCCACCAAGCCAGCCCCAACAGACGTAAGAGCCAGGGCAATTGTTAGATGCTCCTATATATAGCAGGAATTGTTAAGAGTGACATCTCTCTGGAGGCTTTCTGCAGCAGCCCTGTCCTTGTTCTACACTCTGGAACACAACAGAGGCAGAGGAAGGCTCCAGCTGGAGATGGCAGTGGTGGCAGGGGCTGGCACACCATCCAGGCGTTGTTACATACAGCCCCTGTGCAGTCTTGTCATTTATCTACTTGACACTCACTTCAGCAGGCAGCAGAGCCAGGTCTTTGAGAGGTGGGCATAGAAGCTGCAACTGCTGAAAGGAGTGAAAGGTGGAGAAGACGCCCCCTACACTGCCACCCCTCTTGTTCTCCCCACCCCAGAAGTACGGAAGGAGCGCAAGCTTGAGGTTTCTCCCTCAAAGGAGGGGGTCATTCATATTTCCTAGAACAATTAGAGTCCTTGCATTTACCACTAGAATAGCCAAACTAGTGGGTCAAAACATAGAGGCAACACCAGAGTTCATGAAATAGGAGTTACTGACAAAGGTTGTCCTGTCTGGAAGTGAGGGAGCAGCAAGCCAGCTCCTGCCTTGGTGTGTACCATGAGGATGTAAGGACAGCCTTTCCCCAAGGCAGGCTTCATTTAGACAGCACTAGTGAACAGAAACTAACATCTAATACTAATTCACATGTAAGGGCTGGGGCTAAAGGGTTCCTCCTTTAGCTAATCCAAATCTCATAACCGAGGGAACATGTTCAGATACTCATAGGTGCATTTTAATCAGTATTGGGAGACCTTATTGCAGCCTTTCAATACTTAAAAGGGGCCTACAAGAAAGATGGGTATAGTCTTTTTAGCAGGGTCTGCTGAGACAGGACAAGGCGTAATGGTTTTAAACTAAAGGAGGGTAGATTTAAACTAAACACAAGGAAAAAAATTTTCCCAATGAGGGTGGTGAAACACTGGAACAGGTTGCACAGAGAGGTGGCAGACGCCAACCTTGGACAATGAGGGTGGTGAAACACTGGAACAGGTTGCCCAGAGAGGTGGCAGACGCCCCATCCTTGGAAACATCCAAGGCCAGGCTGGATGGGGCTCTGAGCAACCTGATCTGGTTGTAGATGTCCCTGCCCATTGCAGGGGGATGGACTGGATGGCCTTTAAAGGTCCCTTCCATCCCAAAGCGTTCTATGATTCTGTGATTCCCTTGTCGGCCCAGTATATTCCCACATCAGATGATCCTCTCCCCAACTGCAGAGGAAGGGAGCAGGAAAGCATGGCTGCTGTGCCTGCCAGGAGTGACAGCTGGACTTCATCACCCAATAATATTGCACACAGTCACTACATGTAGCACTGACTTCAATAAGTCCTTTATTTTTAAATAAAGAAATCCCACTGAATCAAAGATAACAAAATTACATTTTGTTTTGCAATAACCTCCATTTTACACCACACAGAAGAACAAAAATTAAAGAAAAAAATCTTACACTTTTTTATATATTTATATATATAATTTTAAAGGTAAACATCAGCAGATATAGAAAAATTGCATTGCTAATTGCAAATCATCTCCCCTGCAGCTGTCAGCTCCAGAGAATCTGACTCAGAACATGGCAGCGTGGAGGGCGCCTCAGTACACAAGCTTTGTCAGGGCAGCATTTAGAGATGGTTCCAGAGTGTAATTTTGCCAATTTGAAAATATTTTCATAGTAAACTGCTCACCAAGAACATTAGAAGTCACTCAGCCTGTTCTAACACACTTGCATGGGCAACACAAGAATGACACAGGTCTGTCCTTCCTGAGCTCTCCACACACCTCTTCGGCTTGGGATTTTCAGAGAAAGGGGTTATGCTTTCTCAAGAAGAATGTCTAGTGATCTGTCACTGGGAATTATGGTCAAGCTGTCAAGTAACACAATGAGAAAACATGCTCCTTTGGAAAGCTGCTGACTTGGGCTACGCAGTAGGGTTTGGTTATATCAAATACAAGTGGGTTTTGTTTGGCTTTTTTTTTTTTTTTTCCAAGACTTCCCAGTTGGCAGGAGCCATGAGAAGGGTCAACATCCCAGTAGAGCTATAGTAGAGATCCTAGAAGAAAGTATCTAATCAATATCTAATTGATATTGAAGAAAGTATCTAATCTCTTGCATGACCAGAGATAGACAATGCAAGCTTGTCATTCAGACAAAA